TTGGCTTATTAGCTGCCTTCTGAGCAAGTTACCTGACCCCTTATATTCATTAATAGTATCTTGGATCAGATGCACAATATTTTTAAATAAGATCATTTACTAAGGCCAAGTGCATCTTACTTTTGATGCAGTGTGAGGAAGCATATCTCCAGCTCTTTTTGTGGTCACAGTGGATAAATACAAACCGAATAATCATTAAAAGTAAAGTTGGAATAGGTTGCAAAATGGCACACAAAGATTGCATATCGATGTATCAATTCTGCCTATAAAGCATATCTTTAATAATAGGAAAGTCTTCCCTCTATTGTACTCAAGATTTTATCCACAGTTCTAATAGAAAATCTACTAAATGCTTGGGTAGCCCCAAACTAGGAGCAGCCGTGAATGCCCTGGATGACTTGACAAAAATTCAAAACAATCTCAACCAACTACGAGATAGTTTAAATAAGGCTGTTAAGAGCTCTATCAGGTTCAGCACTGGGACTCAGAGCTATGCGTGGGCCTGGCCCAGGGTTGGTACCAGGGGCATGGGTCCAACAAGCAGTTTGGGTCTTCGAGGTTGGCAGTTGTAAAGAGGCAGGAGATGAGATGGCTCCTGCAACCGGAAATTGGGTGCCTACTTCGGGGTTGTGTGAATAAGTGGCCTCCCGGAGAATAACGGGAGGGAAGCTTCTCATTGTTGGAGAAGGTTAGATATAAATATAGGAGGGAAAACTTTGAAATGAACTTTGTGGAGTTGCATTAGAAGTGGAGGTATATATAGCTGCACATACAGAGATGGATAATACATAGAGAACATGTACACACACACACACACTAGGTGTAATCAAAATGTGATGCATTTAAATTAAAAAATTATTGCTGTGCAGTAAAAGCCGCTGCCATGACTCCCCCTCCACGTCCTCCCCCTCACTTCCAACATAGGTATCCATTGTTCTTGCCCTTTTCTGAAGCAGTTCTGAAAGTCTTCTTTCATGCATGTCTTTGGTTGTGTTGTTATGGTCACCATGGGGTCCTAAATTGGTTCCGAATGTTTACTTTCATGTTTATTTTGACTTTGGGGAAGAGCCAGATGTTTCAAGGTGCCTTATCTGGTGAGGAAGGTGGGTGAAATCACACCTTCCTGTTGGATGGCACTTGGCAGCAGCACCCACCAAATTCTGATCACGTCTTGGGAAGACACTCATGAAGAGGGCTTCCAGACTGCTTCGGAAGGTGGCAAGAGCAGTGGATGAGCATGTCTGAAGTGAGGGGTTTAGTGGCAGTGTGACTGTTACTATAATAATCGTTCACTGCAGAGCCATCCAGTGGGAGGAACACTTCTCACCTGGATCCGTCCAGTGGGCTTCTCCACCCAGAGTAACCCAAATTCATCTCCATTTTAACTTCTGTCTGAGGTTACTCCCAGGAGACTAAAATCAGCCCTGAAGAAACTGACAAATGGAGCCAATTAGTGTACTATCAAGGTCATTTCAGCTCATTAGCCACTTCTAAATTTCATTTGTTATTTGCAGTTGAAAGAGTACACTTTCCCACATTCTTCTTTGTGATGTCTAACAGGATTAGGCGTCACATTGAGTCCTCGAGAAAGAGATTGTATGCATAATAACAAGACTTCAGTGCCAGGCTGCACTGTATGATGCCCTTCGCTGCACTCAGGAGCAGGATATTATGTATTACTTTGCACATCTTCCTAATGAGAGAAATTTCTTAGGTGGAATAAAAAATTGAAGTCAGATTGCATTTAAAAAGCTGAACTGGGTGGGTCAGGATTGCTCGTGTTTAAAAAATGTGAACAACATCCTTAATATAGTATTTGTGACTAACCCAGTGGGTGTGATCCCCCCGGGAGAACAGTAAGTTCAGTTTCTTTGTGTTTGAAAAGTTAGAGGTTGAAACTCTAAATCACCCAAGGTTTTGTTTAAAAAGAGGCTGGAAATTTGGCATTTGAAGACCTTTAGTTAAAAAAAAAATGAACAGATCAGATACAATTGAATTTTTTGTTGATTTACTCATTTGACTTTTCTGTAATTCTTACAGCAACAACAATGCACATTCTCCAGAACCAGTGTTCTGAACAACTTGTGCCCTTGGGTGGTGCTGGGGAACTGAGCTCACGGTCAGTTCACAGATACACTTTAGTAATGGCAAACCTGTGGCACACAAGCCACAGTGGGCACACAAAGGATTCTTGGTCACCATGTGAGCCAGGTCGCTCCAGCAGCCGAGCATCAGCTAACATTTGGTTTTTCTGAAGCAAAACCTCAGTATTCAGGTTTAATGGCAGTGTTGGCACTTTGCAGTAAACAAGTGGGTTTTGGGTTCAGCTTGGACACTTGGCCTCTGAAAGGTTCGCCATCCTGCTTTAGAAGAATTGTTAAAGTACAATCCTTTGATCTGTTGATTACAACACGTGTTAGTCATTCTCTAAGCTCTTTATCAGCATCACATTATTTCCCGCAGTAAGTTGTTGGGTAGGCACTGCTATCATTTTGGGGGCAGGATTCTAGAGGTTGAATCCAGAGGTTCTCTATCATTGAGCTACATCCCTAACCCTTTCAAACTCTTTTTTTTTTTTTTTTTCTTTTTTAGATAGATTCTCACTAAATTGCCTGGCAGGACTTGAATTTGGAATTTTCTTGCCTTAGGCTGGCTAAATGCTAGGATTACAGAAATGCATCACTGCACTTGGCTACAAATCCCATTTGGTAGGAGAGAAGATGAAGACCCAAAGCAGCTAAATAGTGCGAAGTCACAATCTGCAAGGAATAGAATTACAATTAAAACCTGCTGGGACGGTGGCACATGCCTGTAATCCCAGCACTCAGGAGGCTGAGGCAGGAGGATCACTGTGAATTCAAAACCAGCCTGGGCCACAAAGTGAGCTCAAGCCTAGACTGCACTGCATAGGGAGACTCTCCTGTCTCAAAAAACAAAACAAAAAGCAAAACACCTGCATTGTGGCCTGCGTCTCTAATCTCAGTGCTTTGAGAAGTTAAAGCAGGAGGGTCAGCCCGGGCGACTGAGCCATTTAGACCCTGTCTCAGAATTTTAAAATGGTCAAGAATGTAACAAAGATGACAAAAGTTCTATGATAAAGGTTAAATTGAAACGCACTGAGGTAAAGGTTCTATTCCTATGATTAAAACAATGAACCAACTGAATGCGTTGGCTCACGCCTGTAATCCCAGCACTCCAGAGGCTGAGGCAGGAGGATCATTGTGAGTTTGAGACCAGTCTGGGCTACAAAGTGAGCTCAAGGCCGCCTGAACTGCATAGCGAGACCTCGTCTCAAAAAGACAAAAACAAAACAAAACAAAACAAAAACAACCAATGACCCGTACATATTATATCAGCAACTTGGGGTCCTTGTCAGTGGCATATTTATCATTAAAGATTGCAAGAAAAAAAAAAAACCTTACTGGTGTGGCTACTTGTAGCCTTGATCTACTCCTACACACAGTAACTGTGGAGTAACAGAATTTTAGCAAAAAAAAAAAAAAAAAAAAGGTAAAATTTAAGAAATAGATTTCCCTAATTTCACCAGTAGGTGTCGCTGTTTAAAGGTACCGGTAACAAGTTTTTTTTCTAGAGTTTGTGTGGAAAAAAGTCCAATAAACAATTTTGAGTCAACGTACAGCTTGCGCAAACCCACAGAATGTTCATAACCCACTCCCTTAATTTATAATTCCAAATAATAACTTATCGTAGGAAAATAATTATTAGGAAAGCATTATAAGCTTAGGGGTGATATACCTACAAAACGATTCAAATTTAACTTCAAAATATTGTATAAAAATATAAAGAATTCTCTAATTTTAACAGGTCTGCTTTTTCAATAAAAACATAGCCGTTGAGTTTTTAAGGAAAGAGAAAGACGAGCTCAGTCTAACTGGTTATTGACTGAATAAAGCAGCCCCTCCAATCCCTTCACCCCCAAATATTTACTGCCCCTGCAGTATGCCCTCCTCTCGGGCACAGACCGACAGACAAGCCTGTCCATCGATACAGATTTTCAAGGTCCTGGAAGAGACCGAGGCTGTGATTCTCAGCGGAGACGAGCAAATGAAATGCATTATTTTCAACGGGAGATTTTTGCTACAGGAATATTAGCGAGGGACTTAGGGGACCCCAGGGTGGGCAGGTGGTGGATCGCCCTGGTGGATCACCCTGTGAATTTGGGCGAGGAGTTCTTTGCACTGCTAAAGTAACTACTGTTTGAAGTCAGGTTTTTTATTACTATTATTTTAAAGAAATAAAGGAAAGAGAAAGCCCAGGCGGGCTGTTAGTACTTTAAGCTGTATTTTAAAACTCTGCGCGGGGTGCATTTCCAAGCTGCAGGACCAGCCAGCGGACCACGAGCCCCACCGCACCCCGCCGCCCCTCCGCTACTTCCACCGGCCCCTCAGCCCAGACCGCCGGGCTCTTTCCGGGGAGAGTCGAGCACCGTAGTGCTGCGCTGGTCTCTGCCAGAATAAAAGGATTCTCGTTTTCCCGGGCGTGGGGTGCTCGGTTTGAAAAACGACAAAATACTAGCGGTGTACCCGGTTGAAAAAATACGTAATACGGTTAGGAAAACGTAACTACCAGGAGTGGGGTTCGAACCCACGCGGACATATGTCCATTGGATCTTAAGTCCAACGCCTTAACCACTCGGCCATCCTGGTATACGCAAGCACCTTTCTTACGTTTCCTACAAGGCAGTCGGCTGCTCCTCGCTCCCTCCCGCAGGAATCCCGGGCACCGCCCAGCCTTCCCTGCCCCGGCCCGGAGGCTGCTTCGTTTTCCTCCGCTCCCAGGTGCCCGAGTCCGTTCGGCTGCAGCCCAGGGGCGCGCTGCAGGCCCGGGCGCCTGACGGAGCAGGGCTCGGGCTCCGCCAGTTTAGCTTTCGATTTCGAGGCGCGCGGGCGCCGCAAACAAAGAAGCAGACTTCCGGGTTCCTAGGCCGGCGTCGGCGGCACGGGCGGGTGGAGCGGGCACAGATCCCGGAGCGCAGCGGGGACTGAGCTGCGCGGGTGGCGCTTAGGCGGCAGCGGAGTTCTGGGGCCTGGGCACCTGCGGGACGCTTTTCTTCTCAGCATGTGGCCCTAGGCACGCGCGAAGGGAGATCTGGGGAAATGTGTCAAGGGCTGGGGCGGCGGGCAGCGTGCCTCCTCCGCAGGACCCCATCGACGTCGCCGGCCTGGCCGTGCGCGACTCCTCGACGGCTCCGCGGGGCTTTGCTTCCCGGGCCGCCCAGGCCCTCGGCTCTGCCCCGGAGCCAGGGGCAGTGTGTCGTGCAGTGGCGGGGAGCCGAGAATTTATACCAGGCGGGAAATTGCACACTCGTGTGCCACGTCGAGCGTGCCACGTCACGGGCGACCCCGCCCCACTGGTCACGCGATCTGAGACTTGCAGCCGGCCGGTCTTGCCTGCCTAGCTGCACCCCTTTGATCTCTGGAGACATGGCCCTGATCACTCGAGTGGGCGCCCAGCTTCAGCCTGGCCCCAGCTCCAGCCCTGTGGTGCCTGGGGCAGCAACAGTGGGGCGCCCCCCATACCACACAACTTTGTTTGCTGTTGGGGACCTGTTCCCTGGTCGCAGGGGTGGCCCCCCAGCCTCAGCCTCATCCTGGCCACAGTTCTAGCCCTTAGGTGCCTGGGACAGAAGTGGGGGGGGGCACTACCACACAACTTCGTTGACTCTTGGTGACCTGTACTGCCACCCAACAGGAAACCCACAAGAACGGGACAAGCACAGACTCCTAGGCCTTGCGCTGGTGGGAAATGGGGAACTTGAACCGTGCCAGGCCTGGGCGTGGACATTCCTGTAATGATGACACACGGTCCACACCCTCCAGCCGCCATCTCGGCTTCTAACACTGCAGCCGAGGGCCTCGGACTTCCTGCAGCTGGCCTTGAAGACGGCAGTTGGTGATCAGGACGGGAATGGGGTGCTCCTTGTGTGACGGGTGTTGCTGTGCGCTCTGTATGCGGGTTAGCTGATTTCATTCTCTCCACGCCTGCGGAGGAGGTGTGCATTTGCTCAGTCTGAACTTCAGGCTGCGCATGGACCCAGTGACAGACTCCGATCGGAGCGGAGGCTTGCTGGGCAGGCTGCCCTGCATCAGGGAGCACCGCAGAGCTCTGCTGCTAGTCCTTCCACGATCTTGTGGGACAGGCGAGACTGTTTATCCCAGGCTTAGTGTCCAACAAACTCTCAGTGTAAGGCGGTTCTGAGCAACACAGCCGCCTCCCAGGGCGCCCCTAGAGGTACGTCTTCAGGTAGCTTGGATTGTGTTAAATTTCTTCTCAGCAGTCCGGCCTGCTGTCTAGGAATGGGCCCAACAGGAGGTAGTCTAGTGAGTTCCCGGTAAGTGCTACGGGAGAGACGATGTCGATGTGGGGTGCGGCAGGTTTCCTTCTTCAAAGAGAGCCGCAGCCACACTCCCTTCCCACCGTTCTGTCTTTCCAGTAGGTCTGACCTGGCTCCCATTGAGGGGGGAGGACACGCACGTGGGTCACCTTGGGTTCCCCCTCTACATCCCAGAGAGGCTGCTGTGTGGCCTCCGGGCTCTGTTGTGCAGCTGCTTCTCTGGCTAGGGCCGCCTGTCTTCGGAATCCAACCTCCGCTCTGGGAGGAAGCCCCTTAGCCACATGTGGTTGTGCAAGACTTGTCCCTCAACCGGTAACTGGTTAACCCACTGAACCTGAGAGGACCCCAGCCCCACCACCACACCCTTTAATTAAACACCTAGCTGTCGGATGGGCTTGGTGGCCCACACCTATAAGCCCAGTACTTCGGAGGCAGAGGCAGAGGAGGCCAGCAGAGGCTACAAAGTGAGCTCAAGGCCAACCTGAGCAGCATAGTGAGACCCTGTCTCAAAAAGACAAAACAAAAAAGCCCAACCCAGCTGTCACAGAGCAGTCACTTAATAAAATCATTATCAGTTTGTACCACTGCCTTTGTGTGTGTGCTTAGTTAAGTGAAACAGTGGATAGCAGAAGTTCTGAGACTGATCAGCTGGGTTCTGTTGGAAAGACTGGAGAGAGAGAGGCTATCCAGAAGGAAAAAGCCCAGAGACGGAGACCAAGGTCTCAGCCCATCACAGCGTCCTGTCTGGAAACCGGATTCTGGGGTGCTGCTGTCCTCCAGCTCTGCACTTCCCCTGGACATGGGTGGATGGAAGGACCGCAGTCCCGACCCTGGTCCTAGTTGCAAGGACCTAAGGATCCACACTCCACCTTCTCTCTCAGGACGCTGGCTTCAGGATGGAGGCGATTCCCCCAACATGGGAAAGGAGGGCTCAAGACATGCTGGCGAGGTAAGACAGGATCAACACCCCCTTGAGGAAGCAAAGAATGAAAATCGCTGTGCAGTGGCTTGTTACTGTTGACACCATCAGGAGTAAATGTCAGTAAGACATTTTGTGAAGCCGGGCGTGGTGGCTCACACCTGTAATCCCAGCACTCGGGACCTTGAGGTGGAAGGATCGTTGCGAGTTCAAGACCAGCCTTGGCTACAGAGTGAGCTCAAGGCCTGTCCAAACTGCATAGTGAGACCCCATCTCAAAAAAAAGACATTTTGTGATGTCCAAGTGACTTCATTTCAGAAACTGCTTACAGAGAGAAGTTTCCCACTTTTTAAGTTGCTCTTAATGTATATGTGCTTATTTGAGCAGTGAGATCCTCTTCACATTGTGTGGTGAAGTAAGAAAATATGTAAAAGCTTATTCCTTTCTGAAATTGGAGGAGGCTAATTCCTCACCCTGAGTGCTGGTTGGTTCTTGTCTTAGTTACTTTTTACTCGCTGCTGAGACAAAATACCTGAAGCCCAAAGTTGGAAAAGGAAAGATTTATTTCTTACAGTTTTTAGAGTTTTCAGTCCACACTCGGTTGGCTCCAAGGCAGGCGGGCATGGCTGGGCCGCAGTTCATGGCGGCTGCAAACAGCAAGCAGGAACCAGCAAAGAGCAAGACGCACCTTTTTCCTGCCATTACATCATATCCTGGCTCCACCCCTATGTGAGTGGAGCACTGACACCATCAATCCAAGCACTAGACAATGAACCAATCACAAATACACAATGCAAACTCATGAGGCCTGGGGGCCACAGACATAAACCATGACAGTTCTAAAGAACACAATGCAAGGAGGTGATGTATGCAGGTTTGGTCATCCAGTGGCCCTGCTGCTGCCATCTCGGCTGCTGTCCCTTACTTTCCTGTTTCTTCTGCCCTTGGATGGGATCATGTGATAATGTAATTATTACTATATTTTTTTTGTACCGGGGATCGAATTTATGACCTTACACTTGCCAGGCACTTATATCACTGAGCTAAATCCCTGGCCTGACAGTGTAATTCTTGGAGCTGCGTTTGTTGTACTGTGATGGTGGTTGGGGTCGAGGTATAGTCGTGTTGATGGGAGTAGCCAGAACAGTCTTCGCCCTTTGCCCACTCCTGGAAGGTGGAGGTACTTCTTCAGAAGGGGGACAGCCAAGTTAGAACTATTAGAGGCAGTCGGACAGGGGTAGGCCCTCAAAAGGAGCCAGTACAGATACTTTACTGTGGCCGCTACAGACCTCAAGATAAAAGATAGAATGCCTATACCCTACAGAAGAACGGCAGAAACTGATGTTCAACTGCTGCTACCAAAACAAAAGGAGGGAGACGTAGGGGGCCAGATATGAAGGCTGAGGCCCAGTCAGCCTTCTCTGTGAGCACAAAGGAGAAAGACTGCAAAGGGCAGGCCTGCAGGCGCGTCGCAAGTTCCAGGGAAGAATCAGCCCAGCTGAGATCTGGTGGTTTACCTGGGCACGTGCCATGGATAACACGAGGCAGATGAGGCTTCTGAACTCTCATGTCTTGCTTCTGTGTCTAACTAAATAAAAGTGTGATGAGCTAAATGTTCTAGGCTGTCCATCTAAGGGAGACAAGAGCCCCCTGGTCTCTCTTTCTAAACTAATTCTGTGCCTCTTTGCTTTTATTCTTGCTCGCCCTCTGCTTAGAGACAAATACATAGACAGGTTTCCTACAAATGTGGTTGCTAATTTCTATACTACACCAACTCAACAGGGTAAACTGGACTACTTTTTCCAAATTTGAAAGCACAGCTAAAGTTTCCCAAAATTCAATATTATATAAAGCATACGCATTAAATTTTAAAATATATATAAATTTTTCAAGGTTCTGAAGTCATCTGAACAAAATTACTTAAAAAGAAAAAGAGAAAGAACAAAGATCTCTTACTGTTGTAGTACCTAGAACCATTTTTAAATTAACCATCATCTGAACAAAGAAATACTCAGGAGTCGCAGCATTAAAAGCGTCTGATGAAGCCTGGTGGCTGCTATCAGGCAAACTTGTTTTCCATTCACAGGGGTTTGATACAGTACCGGCTGACAACTATAATACTAGAAGATTCAATTAAAAGCACTTGATTTCAGACTTGATTCTACTTTCCAGCACCATCTGTTGGCGTGTGCTGGGAACTGCCAAGCGTTTTCTGTGTACACTGAACTACCTCATGCTGCTTGCTATTCTTCTGGAGTCCAGAGAAAAAATTTGGCGGCTAAACCTGTGAAGTCACCCAATGCTGTCTGTGGCAAGGCTCTCTCACACAGCCCTGAATCTCCTCTGACAGATGCCTCAAAGAGATGCAAGATTTCCAGGGACACGGGACAAGGGACAGGGGAGACACAGGCTTTGTACTGCTCTCTGCCTCTGTCTCTCAGCTACCCAGAACCTAACAATGGTCATACTCTGTGCAGTGACATTTCCGTCTGTGGTGGTGAGATGTACAGCAGTGGTCCTGTAATGTTTAGAGGAGCTGAAAAATTCCTAAGGCCTAGTGATATCATAGCCATCCTGGGGTCATACATGAGTCTGCTGGTGTAAACCTACCAGCCTGCCATATAAACATGTAACTCACATGATTTATGTGCAGTACATCATACTTGATTACTGAATGATGGTGTTACTGGTTTAGGCATTTGGTATACTTTTTATTGTTATAGAGTGTCCTCTGAGTGTTTATAAGAAAAATATTGTATTGCACAAGCCCATCATATGCCCCCAGCAGCTGCGTGCTATGACTCTTGATTGCATCACAAGGCCATGCCGAGGGACAGACCTCCCTGCACCTGTTAGATTTGTGTGTGTGCACTCTATGACGTACACACAAAACCAAGTTCACCTAAATGATGCCCTTCTCAGTATGCATTCTGGTCCCTAAGCGGTGTGCAAGTGTACAGAACATTCGATGTGGGAATTTTACCACGGACTCTGAGCTGGGAGTCAGCAGGGCCCTTTAGACTCTCCTGCCTCATTCCGGCCCAGCTTTTGTTCCCAGGCAGCAGTGTCTCAGCGTTACTCTGAGAGGTATTTTACACGTATGATCTTGATTTATTTAAGGTTCCCCACTTCAATTTTAATTTTCTTTCTTCCCTCTCCTCCTCCTCTTTCCCTGTCTCTGTGTTTCGTGGGGACTAACCCAGGGCTTTTCCTATGCTAGGCCAGAGCTCTATCCCTGAGCTACTGTACATCCAAGCCATCAATTTCAGTTCTTTATTAAGTATTCTATCTGGTCTTTCTTTCTTTATCTTGCCTTTATTTGTATTTCCTTTAACAATATTACCTCTACACTCTTTTAAAATGATTATTTATTCCTACTCTAGCTTAAAATTACTTGTTCCTAAACTGGGTTCATTTTAAAAATTTTATTTTAAATTTGGTATGATTTTTGTTTCGTAAACAGCGCTGGGGATCAGAGCTAACCCTCACCTCCTGCTGGGCACAAGTGCACTAGCACTGTTACGCTCCCAGCCCCGTTTTTTGGTCCATTTCCTTATTCTTTTGCAATAGTTCACTTTCCATTGCATTCCTGTTTTTAATAAATTTTAATCTTCCATTTTAACATCAATATTTTCCTTTTTAAATATTTCCTCCATTCCTTATGTGCCTTTACTCTTCCTTTTTTTCTTTTCTTTTTTTTTTTGTCTTTAAGAATACTGATTTTGCTTTGTGCTTTTTTCTAGTGAGAAAAGCTGGCCTTGGGCACTGGCAAGGAAACACACCCACATCCCCGATCCCCATAGAGTGCTCAGCAAGGAGGGGACATCTGGAGAAAGGTAAGGTCTTCCTACAGCCACTCAGGATGAGTGCAGACTACACTGGTTAATCAAGGAGGACGAACTTACAAAACACCTCACGTCCACAGCCTAAGGGAGGAGAGGGTTATATTGGCTCCCAGTTCCTAAGTTTCAATCGTGTTATGCAGACTTAAACACAGAAGCGATATGGCAGAAGGGCCTGGATAGAGGGAGTCCACTCATGGCATGACAACTAGGAAGCAAGGGGAGAGGAGGGGAGCCTGGAGGAAGGGGCGAGGGGGGAGGACACGGATGATGACACTTCTCACCTCTTCCTACTGTTAGAGTTTCCTGGCACAATAGAGAAGTAGAAGGAAAGAGAAAGTGAAAGTGGCCTTTACTGAGGACAGGGAGAGGAGCCCACAACCCCTGGGGGTTTGGCTTTCTCCTCCAGCTGGATACACAGGGGCAGAGGGTTATATGACCTTGATGGGAAGTGGTGCATGGGGCTGGCGTGGTGCATGGGGCTGGTGCATGGCGTGGTGTATGGGACTGACGTGCAGGGAACTGATTGACATTTTCTTCCTGTCCAAATGGGAAAGAAAATTGCAATTAGGACTGAAGAGGAAGAAAAGGGTCGTGAGGATAAGAGTTCCAGTTTGGCCTTCCACCATGTTAGACCATTGCCATAATGTAATCTATACTAGAGCAAGAACTTTCACCTGCCAGACTCCACCTCCGAACAAGAAGTCAGCTGTGGCATTCCCGCTGTCCAGGCCTCTTCCCAAATCCCTATCTTTGAGTACTTGATGCTTTTGGAGGACAACTAGATATAAACTGTAACAATGATATAATTTAATCACCCTAACATAGACACTTCCGAAAACGAAAAAGGGAACTATTGGAAACCACTCTGTAACCACAGGCCTAAGAGAAGCTGGTCCAGACAAACGTAAAGATGGATATGCAACTTAGGAGCAAAATTAATTAGCATTAGCTGTGTACATAACAGACATTTATTGAATGAGCAATCATTAACATGAGGGATTATGTAAATTTAACTGTAAATCAAAATACAGATTATGATCTCCTTTCTTGTTGGGCCAGTTAGACAAATCCAAACAGCAAATTGTTGCCTTTACAGCTAAAGTGCCTGGTGTTCATTTTGAATTACATTAAGCACCCAATGACTGACAGATGTTAATCTTTTATTTTTTGATATTATTTAATTTTATTTCTTTGGGGACAGAGAGAGTGGAACTGAAGGTGATTCTGATCTTTTAAATACCTGGCAAGTCCTTCCTGGAGGACTGTGGCTGGGCCTCTCCCCACGGAATACAGTGAGCAAGGAACCTTCTTGGAATCAAGAAACACAACATGCACATGGCCCAGTTCCGATATACACATGTGGTGTTATAGCACTGCTCTGTAACACAGATTCTAACCAATCAGGCTGTAGTAGGTGAGTGTGTTATTATTTATGAGAGAAAAAGACACCAAACTGAATAAAAGATAAAACCCCGCTAGGTTTTGGGCTCAGCCTTTTGGAATGTTAACCCACTGAGCCCTGCATGCGAATCCTGCTACAGTCCCATTAATGGAAGGAGGAGAACAGAATGCCAAGCTTGAGGATCCCATAGCACTTTCATTCAAGGAATAGGACAAGCAGAGAGTGGGATGCAAAAGTCTGGAGCTCAGGCAAGCTGGGCCTTAGCCTAGACCTGGTGATAAAGTGCTGGCTGTTAGGAACATTTCCTATGCATGCGCACAGTACAGGTGGTGAGGCAGAGATTGGGTCCTGGCTCCTTGTCAGCCAAACTATGTGAGCTGCTGAGCTCATCACCGCTCAGTCTTCTCCCCACCCACCGAGATTTGGAAATGGCCCCCGTGGAGCTGCAAAGCCATGGGATGGAGGAGACCATCTAAAAAGAGAGGAGGGAAGGAGAGATTCTCAGCCATTCCACAGCACTGCGGGAGTGCAGACTCTGATGGCCCTGACACCTGTAAAATGCAAATCTGTGGTTTCATGCTGCCCAGCACTGCAGGGCAATAATCCTCCCTCCCTGCTTTGCTCTGCTGCCTGGAGCAGTCTGATGACTCACCGCCTGAAGCTTCCTGAGACACACCCAGCACTGTTACCCAGCCTGTTGCCAGCTGTGTGGGCCTCAGGCACCATAGAACTTCTCTCTCCCAAACCTCAGAGGCGCTCCTGACATAAAGTTGAATGTGTGACTGTTTCCTTTTGTTTGTTTATTGCAATAAAGTTTAAGGAAGAATTCAGTTGCTCACTGCTCCTTGATAGACTTTTAATTCTTTGAGTTTTCATTTAAATTATGAACTACAGAATTTTTGTTTCTGAGACTCTGTTTTTTTTACAGTTTTATGTTTATTACATTAGAAACAGAATTTTCATAATTTATGAATACACTAGCTTGGCTACTTTCCACTTCATTTTCTATAATCACAATTCTTCCCATAATCGGGACTAGAAAGCCCTGGTAACACTCTTCAGTTGGGAAACAAACAAATTAAAACTCAGAATGGGTACAGACATCTGACATTTTCATCCCACAGTGTATCAGATGCTTAAACAGTTTTCCTCCTCCCAAAACACTACAAAAATGTACGAGAAACACATCTGTTTTCAGCCAGCAAACATTAAAAAATATCTTTTAAGTAAAATGTTTTAGAGACCACAGGTCTATTGTGATTCTCTTCTCGACTGAATTCACCAATTTCATTCTTCAGATCTGTATATGTATCCTGCCTTTAGAACTGGCCTACTTACCTGTGCTTACTATAGAAGAGACAAGTAGCTTCTTTTAGGTTCTTCGTGTAAAAGCACTTCTAACAACAAAATATTTTTAGTTTTATTTTTGTCTAGAGACAGGGTCTCTCTACATAGTTCAGGCTGGCCCTGAACTCACTATGTAGCGTAGACTAACCTCAAAGTCATGGCAATCCTCCTGCCTCAGCCTCCTAAATTCTGGGATTACAGGCATGTGCCACCAACACACAGATTTATCAAACTATTGTATAATAGTCCCAATCCCAACAAAATTGTTTTAAAACTATGTAGAAAGGTACCTAACTTTTCTAAAAAATTAAAGGACACACCCAAACATGCTCTGTCTAAACCACCCATGTATTTCCATATGCCTGAAGTATCTTATTTTTATTAATAGTAAGCTGACTTAATTAAACATTGTGTTAGTCAGGGGTTTCAAGGAGAACAATTACCTACAGGACACAGAATTTATAATACTATTTTATGAAGGTCATCCAGAGTTAAATACAAAAAGTGCAGGAAATCTGTCCACAACACTCAAGACCTACAAATTCAGCTAAGGGCTTGGAGCCCACAGCAATGTCCTGTATGAATCCAGCTGAAGACCCAGAGCCCATGACAGTACCTCCCATGAGTCCAACTGGAGGTCTAGAGCCCACAAGAAGGACTCACACCAGTCTGTTTTACAAATCTGCGCTGGGAAGGCCCAAAGGTCAGCAGTGGAAGCTAGAAAGTCTATACTAGCAGGTGAAGGAGCTGTGCTGGTAGGCTGAGGGTTCTATACTGGAGCCAAGAGTTGACACTCAAAATAAGGACCAGAACTCCCCCTGAAAAGTATCACATCAAGTACATATCAGGAAGCCAGTATGACGAGCTTCTCCTGGAGCTTAAACAGCACACATCTTCCCCTCCAGAGCCGGGGAACAATGCCCAAAGTAAGGATCAGAGCTCCCCCAAAGTGATCCATAGCCACTCTCGGTAACAAGGTCCTGAGCACCTCAGTGATAACGGCTGACTTCATATCAGGGAGCCAGCCTGGTGAGCTCCTCCCGGAGAACCAACAGTTCCAAACAACAGCACTTAGGAGAACCTTCAACATGTTGCTCTTCTTCACCGTCTCCTTTTATGCTGGCAACTTTCCTTAGGTGGGCTGTCTACACTCAGCAGCCTCCTGATATAATTCAGCTAGTGTAACACTGACCACCAGTTTTTAATCCATAACATATTGTCTACAATTAAGAGATAGCATCAAATGATTTGAGTCAAGAAAATGTAAAAAACCATCCGGCCAAAACTTTAAAAAGCAAACACTTCCTCCTGGTCCGAGTACGATCAATATAGATCAGTGTCACTTTGTATTGCATGTGCACACGTGTGTGCGTGTGTGTGTTGTGCGCGTGTGTAAGAATCTACCTTAACATTTCTATTCTTTAGCATTTTATCTTAACATACAAAGCCTTGTAGACAGTTTCTTTGCAAAGGCTCTCCACACCCTGGGTACAAAAAACAAACAAAAACACAAAACACCAGGCTGAAACTCTTCAAAGTTTTATTTGCTGACTCAGGCTCTGGTTTCCACAACTGTTCTCCGGTCAGTTTGCCATCCTTGCTTGCCTTCCCTGCGGGTAGGGCAGGGAGAAGGGACCACGCCCGCTGCTCGTCCACAAGGGCCAGCTTTCCCCTCAGCATCCAGGAGGGCGGGACCCAGCGGCCGGGAGGCTGGACGGCGGGACCCAGAGCTGGGCGCCCGGCTCCCAGACGGCTCGCCCTCCTCCTACATCCTCCTCACTCAGGCGCCAGCGGGCCCGGAGCTCGATGGGGACAGGAACAGGGGCCTGGGACGGGGGACAAGAGCCGCTGGCAGAGGCTCCGGGCGGGCGCCCTGCTAATGGTGCTCCCCGGGTACTCCCGTGCCAGTCGTGCCCCCGCAGCTCTGTGGCAGTTTTGAAAATGGAAAAAAAAAAAATGTCTTCAGAAATTTCTTCTGCCAGGTATGATGGGGCACGTGTGTAATCCCAGCACTGGGGAGGCTGAGGCAGGAGGACTGACACAAGCTCCAGGCCAGCCTGGCCCATAGTGACTTCAAGGCCAGCGCAGGCTGCAAGAGCCTGTGTCAGAAAAACAGATGAACCAAAGTACTGTAGTATGTGCTGAGTGTACTGTACAGTACAGTAGCTTTGTGCGCTGTCATACATTACAGTACTGCATGTAAGAGTGATGCAAATAGAGGCAAAGTCATGAAGTTGGAGTTTTTTCATTCTGAGTATCAAATGATATTCACAATCTCTCATGCAGTGACCTGGGCGCAGGACCAGAATGTGGCGGTTAAATGAGGATCCTCTGTTGAGAAGGATCGATGCAGTAGCAGGGTGAGATGACCGTTTGCTCTCTCTTCTTCAATGCATGTGCCAACATCTTACCACCAGGCAGCCTTTCTTGTTGGACAGGTTTCTTCCATAAACCAGATTACAGAATGTGTCAGAGTCTGAGAAAAGAGACTACATCACCCCATCTATGCTGCCTGTTCGGGGGCATTAGCTCAGTGTAAACTAAAGGGCAAGGCCAAAGAATGGGTGAGTCACACCTTCCTGGGGCAAGCAAAAGTCCCATCCTTGTGAGATGCATATTAAATAGTTTATTTTGATCTCGGGATGACTTTGCTCTCTGTCCCTGGAGATCTGCTTGCTTCGGGAAACCCAGTTTTGAAGGAATTGCACTTCTGGCTGTGGAGAGGCACCTTGGCCCAGACAGAGCACCTTCGGGGTCACAGGAGGAACGTGGGGGCCTGCAGCTCCCCGCCGGGGAAGGTCCTGTCCTCTTTCCGCTCCCCGGGTCTTTAACTCCTGCGGAAGAAAATGCCTCGAAGCTACTTCTCCACACAGCAGTTAGGCATCTTCATGCCCTCTACCTCCTCCTCGTCTTTTTTGATACTTGCAGTATTCAAGATTGAACAAAAGACCTTCCCTCTATAGAGCTATATCTCCAGCCCTGTTTCTATTTTTTAAAATTTGAGACAGGATCTTGCTAAATCACTACATTGCCCAAACTGAGGTATCTGCCTCAGCTCCCAGAGTGCTGGGATCACAGATGTGCACCACCACATCCTGCGAGCATTATGGATTTCTAGGAGGTCCGTCTGGGGCAAAGTGGTGGTGGGGTACCCTGACACACTTAGGAATGGACTGTGGCGTCTCAGGTCTCTGTCATACATGCCAATTTATGACTGCGGACATTATAGTACTAAGCCCAAAGCTGTCCTTCTGAACTCGGCTACTTACGATGAGGAGCAGGTAGCTACATTCTTTACCTACTAGATGCCAGCCAGAGAGGACTGAGTCCTGTTCAGACTCCAGCTGACATATCCTCCAAATATTCTTTTATTCTTTTTTTGGCCACTGGTTCCCAGGACCTTGCACCTGCAAAGTATGCACTCTGTTGCTGAGCTGTGTCCCTAGCACCTCAAATTATTTTTTTTAAAGATTTTTTTTAATTGAAGGAATAGGATAGGAAGAGAAAACTAAGTTTTACAGCTCCCATCCAAACTGAATCTGTCCCTTTCCTGAGATATTTCTTCAGCCTCTGATAGGATTATTTCTAAAAGATGAGAAGTATAAAACAAAAGAGGCCTTTATTCTGAGAACACAGAGAGAAAGAACCAGCACCCCCGACTGCTGGAGTCCGGCTTTCTCTCTGGTGGACACGAGGCATCGGGGGTATGTAAGTAGCCTCGGTTTGGGGTGGAACCTAAGGGGGCATCAGGGATGCACGGGTAGCCCATTGGTCCTAGGTTTGGCCCCACAGGTAAGTTCCCAGGGGCGGAGAAGATGACATCACAGGTAAATCCCTAGGGGCAGGGGAGATAGGAGCTTCCTGGTTCCAGTTGAGGCTTTTCTGGCTACAGAGTCCTGTCTGGGCCAAAACCCTTTCATATCCTGTCTTACAATTATTATTATGAAAAGGGGCAAAGATTTCTCTCTTTAACTATTTCCTGCTAGCAGGGGGTGCTGTACTGGAATCTAGGGGAGTCGACGGGATGACAGTTGATGCCCAGGTAGACGCTGGTGCCAGGTGTTTTATCCAGGACAACTTCACTGGTGAATGCACGTATCTTAGACTGGAAAAACAAAGAGACATGATGTTATGAGGAGGCATGGCACTGTCATATTTAAGGACCCAGGTGAGGTAGAGGGAAAAGTGCCTTTGATTTTAGACATGTCATTATATCAGGACCATGTTGAGGTAGAAACATTTGCAAAGTAAGGTAGAATTCTGAAAAATAAATGTGAGGTTAGGAGGAGTGAAGTTATGAGAGGTGATTACTCCCCCATCTGAAAGCATAAAAGATAAGAGGGTAGGTGTGTAAAATTTGTCTCCAGTCCAGGAGTTGAACTGGAAAAAATAGGGGGAGCAGGGGAGGCAGTGGCTGTACCAGTATAG